TATCCGATCGCAACAAGAACGTAATCACCAATATCTGATAAGCACGGAACTCATACCGAACCGATAGCCAAACTCTTCCGAATCGAACGTGAACTAAGCTCACATTGTGTTACCTCTTAAGCATATTCATATAATCGATTTATATTAAAGATATCGCTGCGCCTAATACTAACCTTGAACCTCATAAGCCCCGTGTATTTCAAGCTCATGGATTTAGAAGCATTCGTAATATAATATATATATTTTTCAAGCTCAGTGAACTTTTCTTTGCAGAGAAAGCACGATCGTTCTAAGAAAAGACCCCGTAGATTTTAAGATTGTCACATAGTTGTATTGAGTATTGTTTTCGAAATTAAACTATTTATTATGTTAAATGGAAATCGAAAATATAACATTCCATTCGTTAAAAATAGCGAATGCTATACCAAATATGTCTTTTATTAAATTTTCTTTACAAACATGAAGAAAACAAACTATTTAAAACCATTTTAAAATCAAACACAGCAATGGTTCTCTACCGTTTGAGTGCCTAGCTTCAAAGCTAAGGACTTGTAAAAGTGTTTTATGTACGTAAATGTGAACGCAGATAAAGTTTGTCGGAAATCTATATATTATTCTTATGGAAGGAGAAATCATGTCGAATATGTTTTATTTTGCTGTTCGTCTCATACAATCTTTTCATTCTGTTTTTAGATCGATATCTTGAGTTTTATCAGTTCGGATGAATATATCCTATAGCCAAAATATATCATAATGGCTGTAAGAGACTATGCTGTTCATTCGCGCAGCTTATGTAAATGCTATCAACTTAAAATTTCCAAAAAATGTGACTCTATTACACTGACTTAAAAATTCAAATCAACAAAATTCTTCAGAGATCCGAACTTGATAATGTTAATTCACTTAAAAATTGTTGGCACCTTTTTTTATTTAAGTGAAAATAACGTTTTTACGCATATTTTATATGTTACTTTCAGTTCTGCTTAACCGATTTGAATAGAACTTTCTGAAGAGTATTTTTTCTATTGCAGAAATTATATAAATTAAAATGTGCCGGATCGGGCGACTTTTTCATAGAGCTGCCAATTAAAAAAGAAACCTTTGTTGTTTTTTAAATTGCACCAGTAAGCTCTAAGACATAGTGTGGTTTTAATTTTATAAAAATCGGATAACATTATTATATAGCTGCTATAGAAATTCATCGGAAGGTCAACAACTAAACATACACGAATAAGATCAAAAAAAAATTCGTTTTTTTTATTTTTATTTTTGAAATATCTGCAAGAGTATATAAACTTCGGTTTGCCAAGACTTGCTTTCTCATGTAAGTGCAAAGACATAATAATAGTTTCGGCAAATTAGTATCAGTATATAATTTCTTTTGGTTTAAGTATCTAATAAAATCTTAGGTTTTTTTCTTTGTTTATATTTTGAATATGTACAAATTAAACAGCTACAAAACTATTCAGTTAACTATTTAAAAAACATTGATTTCATTTTTCAAATATTTTTATTCGTCTACGTTTGTTGAAATTACATTAAATCTCCATTTTATGCATTGCAATCATTGGGTGTAACTTCTAAGTTTATGTGTCTTCCAGTTTTCAATAGTTTTTTCACACGCATCATCATTGTAATTTGACATTTTTTTTAATCGAGGCACTGAGACTAGATGTTGGATGTTCTGTTTTAAAAAATTATTAATTGTGGATCAATAATGGCTTTTATTTTGGACAGACCCAAAGGGATACCGATTGTTTGCAATGGTTTTAACTAAATTTAATTTTTTTTTCGATTGAATAAACTTGAATTTCCTTAAAAGCTATTTTTTTTATTGTAAATGAACTCGGATTACACTTTTAAGACCCGCTACATATTGAATTGTATGTATGGTACCCTTAAAATCTTCTATAATTCTGGTTTTGTTGCCTGTTGCCACCTTGTTGCTGGTAATTATTATTCCTTGGGCCGTTGAAGTTGTTAAAGTTACGCTGTTGATTGGAGTTGTCCTGGTTGTATCTCTGATTGTGGCCATATTGCTGTCGGTTGTTGTAGTTGCCCTGGTATCCGCCACCTTGGTGTTGGTTAAAGTTATTATTATTATTGTAGTTGTAGTTATAGTTGCGACTGTTGTTCTGATAGCCCTGTCCTTGATTTCCCCCTCCCTGGCCGTAGCCACCTCCTTGACCGTAGCTGCCGCCAGCCCCCTGATTGTTTCTAATTCCGGCATTCAGCATGCGATGCCCACTGCCCGGAACATAGGCCCTGGACAAATGGCTATTGAATCCGATGACGGGGCGATGCTTTTGTCCCGTCTGTTCCGTGGGCAACACCTGTGGCGGATCCACGGCATCGGCCAGCCGCTTCGCCTCGAAAATGAAGTCGTCATCGTATTCCGGATCCTTAAAAGTCGTTGTCACCGTGGTGTTGTCACAAATGTCCGACAGTCCGGAGATGGGCGACCTCAGAATGCCGCTAATGGCAGTGTTGAGCTCCGTTTTGCCCAAAGTGCCGCGCATTCCATCAAAGGATATCGCCTTGCACACGTTCTCATCAGATTTCTCGCTTATTTTCTTGACCTTCTTGTAGTGCGTGCTCTGGTTGCTGATGTACAGGTAATTGTCGCCCCGTTTGTTCCGCTTCACCTCCTCTCCCGTGAGTTGATCGTAGTAGGGCACCAAGGCCTTGAAGAGTCGCTTCTCGTCGACGAAGGGCAGCAGGGCCACTCCCTGCCAGGCGAACTTCTTGCCATTCAGATCGATCTTGAAGTCCTCTGGATAGAAGTCAATGATTGGAGAATCCGGACTGGACATGAGCTGGGCCCACGGTTCGGGCACATGAGAGCTACTGGCTGCCGGAAACACGCCCATCAGCTGCTCCAGCGGATTAAATGGCTTGGTGCCCTTTTCGAACATCGTGGACAGACCCTGGATGTTAACGAAATCCGATGCAAATGGGGCATAGTGGTAGGGAAAGTACCAGTTCCAGGAGGCACAGCCCTGATAGTAGTACTTCAGCACCCAGCACAAACCCCGGACGTACTGCAAGGCCACGGCGTAGCGGAACTGCTGATTTCCTGGCGCCACATCGAACTTGGACTCGTAGTAGCGGTCCTTGAAGCCGTCCTCCCACAAGCGCACTTCGTCGTTGTCCTCCTCCTCGTCGTCGTCATCCAAGTCGGCCTGGTCACTCGTCCGCTTCCGAAGGGCAGCGGCTTCCTCCTTGTAGTTGCCAATGCTCTTTTGCTGGCTATTTGGGCCCACGGCGCTGGCCCCAAACGCCGACTGATCCAGAGCCCTGTGGTCCTGGTTCCTCTCCTGTCTCTTTCGCGCCTTATCCCTGGCCTTGAACTGCTGCTCGCGGCGCTGTCGGCTCTTGAAGATCTGGTCCTCGGCATTGCCCAGATCCGTCATAATCAGCTGCACCCTGTCCAAATTGACGTCGCCCGAGTCGGTGAGATAGCCCTTCGTCTTGTAGACGCACTTCTTGTACAGCTCGACCAGCCGGTCCACAGCGCCCTCACGGATCTCCAGGCTGGGCAGATGGGGCAGGAAATCGTTGCCCACAAAGAAGCACATGAACACCCAGTCGTCCAGGGCTCGCTCGAAGCTGTACTCGAAGGGGAGATTGGGCATCTCGAGCGTCTGCTTCAGGTACTCCCGCAGCACGCTCAGTCGCACAAAAATGAACTTCACCTCCGCCCCAATGGGAACGTCGGGCTTGAAATTGGCACCCGTCGGTGCCGTGGCACCCAGGCCCACGCACTTGTCCATCTCGTGGCCAAACCCATTGCAGATGTCGCAAGGACGCGGCTTGTTTGGCAGAAACTCCTCGCGTATGATGGTGAAGTTCGGCTCGTGGGTGGCCAGACCGAGCATGATGAGATCGGCATCGGCCCCGCAGAGGACGTGCTGGGTGTTGGGATCGTGATCCGGCTGGGCGCGCTGCTTGCGGATGTAGTCCATGATCTTGTGCTCGCCCTCGCCGGGCACATTGGCGTCCGACAGGATCACCTTGATGCCCTTCCAGGCCGGGTTGTTGTTCAGCCGGTCGTGGACGTAGTAGTGCAGGCACTTGCTCAGCCGGTCCATGAACGGGGTGCCCGGCGTGATGCAGTTCGAGTCGAAGTGCTCGCCCTTCTCCTTCTCCGGCGGCAGCTTGCAGCCGCGGCTCAGCAGCTCCTCGCGGATCCGCTCGATCTCCAGCCGCTTCTCCGTGGTCTCCTTGGCCGCCCGGAAGCGGCGCGAACGCTGCTGGTTCATTTTGGCCCGCGGTGCCACCCCATCGATGGCCATGTAGAGCAGCTTCCGTGGGCGCACGATGCCGAACAGGCGGTCGATGCAATCGAAGATGGCCACCATCATCTCGTCCTCGTTCTTCGGCGCCGGCTTGTCCTCCGGATGCGTGCACGGATGAATGATGCCATTCATGTCCAGATAGAGATTGTCGAACTCTATGCCATTCGGATTCGGCTGGGTGGCGTCCTCGTAAATATTGCGCCCGGTGTCCGGGTCCACCTGTTTGTTCTCGTTGCACTCAATGATCACGCTCGGATACTTCCGGCTTAGCCAGCGAAAGAATGCTGGAACTCCCATTTTCGCTTCGCTTAAAACTCAATTACTGCCTTTATTTCAGTCAAACTCTATTTTTCTTCCGTTTTTTTCACCTACAATACAAGCATGCTCCAGCCAGTGGGACCGTACAAATCTTGCGTGCGTAAATATACTTAAAAATATCTATAAAAATACCAACGAAATATGTGCTGTGTGGGTGTTTAATTGTTGACAATTTCGCCATTAAAATTTAATTTTATATAAGGGTATATAAGGGTGATTTATGTGAAGTATCTTCAATTTTGGGTTCAATAAAAAACTATTTTTCTTTTTTATTTTAAGATTTTGAATTGGGTGGGTTTGCTAAACTCACAAAACTTAGCTTAATTCAGATTTGACGGGAAAAAGCCAAGCGGGCATCACTGACCATCTCCAGCAGCTCTCGCAAGGTTGCCAGATCTTTAAAAGCAACTCATGTGGTTGATTCGTTTCGAAGAGGCTGTTTTAAGATCTTGCAATGGCCAGGATACTACAGAAATACATCAAGTTTTCGACTAAGGATCTGGAGAATTATGCCAGCAACCCGGAGTCTTGCGTGCATTGCGTCACCACGGACATGCACCTGGCCATGGGTCCGTATGGCATGGCCGATTTCAAGCACGCGCTCCACGAGCACCTTATCCGCACCAAGGTGGGATTCTACGACGTCAGTCTCAACGGCATCGTCCTGGGCATCCAGAACATCAAGGTGCTGGGTAACACTGCGGGCCTGCGGGCTGATGATCCCAGCATGCACCTGGCCATCAATGCGGACTTCTACGTCTTTCGCCCCGAAGCGGGGGCCATTCTGAGCGGCGTGGTGCGGCACATCTCGAAGAGCACGGTCAGCGCCGTCATCTACCGGGTCTTCAACACCTCCATTCGCTTCACCAACAAGACCCGGAGCCGGGAGGACATCGCCATGGACCAGGAGATCAAGTTTCGCATAAAGAGCTTTGACGTCGGCAATGTGACGCCCTACATCGAGGGAGAACTCCTGCTCGAGGAGGGCGAGGAGCCAAAGGTGGGTTACTCATGCTTTTAGATGGTATATTGTGTATTTAGCGGAAATCTTAAATCGACTCCCGCCAACTTTGCTAGGTGCCTAGCATTTTCTTTAGACTTTTATTTTACGTTGAGAATTTAAAATCCCTTAGAGATACTTGCACTTTTGGTCAGAAGTTAGTAGGAATCAATGTTATCAGGATAGTCGATATAGACTGGTTCGTATGTTTCTTTAAGATGTTGTTGCTCAGTTCAAAAACAAACGACTGTACAGTTGATACCAATCCCAGACTGAGTGACTGATCCAAATCAAAGATTCTGTAGGAGCTAAGGTTTCTCCTGCTTTCAGAAAGTGTTTAGTATCAGTACTAGAAATCTTAAATTGTGTTTTAATCAACTGACAGACATATGTAAATATATACCTTGCGTTTAATGACTTAAAATGTATTTTTTTTTTAGAGATGTTTGAAGGAATCATTTCTGCAAGGATAGTTAATATAGATTTGCTCGTATTTCTATAAGATTTATTTGCTCAGTTCAGAAACAACACTCTTGCTACCAGTCTCAGACTGATTTGCTAATCTAAATTCCATATTCTGCAGCTGCTATTAGAGTGATAGGACTTAATTTATAAAAGATATATGCGCACCACCTCGCATTTCGCAGTACCGTTTGTACACAAAACAGTTTCTAAAAGAAGACGTTCCTAACGATAAAGTATAACTTTGTCACTAAAAGTTTGACTTAAGTTAAAATTGTTTTAAAATGTATATATTTTAAAATTGTTTTAAAATGTATATGAATTGTACCTGCTGTTACTAATTTAACTGTTATTTTCTTACCTAGAATAAATCCATAAAGTTTGGAAGCCCCGAACCGGAGAAGATCGATGTTAAGAACGAAGACCCCGATGAACTGTTAGATGGCCTTTTAGCTGAAATAAAGAAAGAACCTGATTTTGCGCCCGAAAAGGATTCACCCACAAAGAAATCTTCAACAAAACGAAAGAATGGTGAAAATAGTCCCACCACAAAGACGAAAAAACTGAAAAATGAAATAAAAAGCGAGCCAATATATACAATATAAATTCATTCGTTGTTACCATCTCTGTATAGTACAAATTTACAATTATATAATGTTGAAATGTAAAAATCTAAATAATTAGGGCATCAAGATGACAGGTACTGATTATATTTTTACAAAAACGCAAATGAGCTGGATTAATATTTGTATAAGCATTATTCTCCGTGAACCGTTTGGTATCGCATGATTTTGCCGATATAGATCCAAATATTTTACCATTTAAATTTTTTTGGCCCAAGCTATATACGACAATAGCAATTTCATCCCCACTACAATTTTATGATTGTAGGACTGAAAAAGTCAGTTTTTAAAATGTGAGTTTGAATAGTTTGTGATACATATGTATTTCATACAAATAGAGTCAATATTTTACAATACATTAAATACAATACGTGTATCATAGTTATATTATATATGGGTTTCTTTTACAAATCATTAAAAGTGTTTCACATTATTTTGATTTCGCTAATTATTAAATAACAAGCAAATAGAATAATATCAGATTCTAATCGTACACCAAAAAGTAACATAAACTATACACACAATAATAACACTTGAAAAAATATTCCTACACAATAACTTCTTCATCACGTCTACAAGGAACATTTACATAATGTACAAACATACGTAATACATACAGTTACAACAATTTTTGTTTGCACGGAGATTAGGAAACCCAAAAATGATGCTATTTTTGATTTTCGGGTGGCAGAAATTGTGGGCAGTGAGTGGGAATGAATAGAGAAATTTACTTAGGAGTTAATAAATGAGGTAATCGAAAGCGGGTAAAGGCATCAGTTTTAAAGGACAAATCAACCTAAGTAACTAGAATAAAGGGGAAAAGAGGGTCACAATTGGTTTCTAAAAAGGCTATGATTGCTAGACTGAGATTTCCTGAATATGTACACGTTTCTTGCCGCTGCTACTCCCCGATCCCGTCGTCGAACTTCCGCCCGCCCCTGTCTGCCGCAGTATGCCCGCCTGCTGTTGCTGCTGCTGCTGATGCTGCTGCTGCTGGGCGGCTAGAAAGGACCTTGGTGGGGGTGGCGGCTCGGGGATGTCATCATCGCGGGTGATTTCCGAGTCATTCCCCGCTGCCGCCTTGACAGCCTCCTCTATCGCCTTGAAGGACATCTGGTCCGAGGACTGGACTGCGTAGTCGAATTGCTGCGAACTGTTGAACTGCAGCGCGGTCTCCACGAAGGATCCTCGTTTGCTGCTCATCGCCGGTGCGGATTCCACCACCGTGGGCAGGGCGATGGTCCCATAGGTGACCATTTCGATGGGATCCCCCGGCTTGGTCTTCAGCAAATCCAACGTGCCCATGGAGCAGGCGCCCCAGGTGTCCATCATCAGGGACGTCTGGCCAGTGGACGTGGACGGCGGCAGTTCCACCAGCAGTTTCTCCTCCTTCAGCTGCTTGGTCTTCTCATCGTAGCAGCTGTACTCGCCGAACACCACGCCCACGCCCACTCCCTTGCCGTCCACCAAGGATCCGGTTAAGGTATACGCATCTGCGATATCCCCTGGCCCGGCGACACCAGCTCCTCCTGCGCCAGATCCAGCTCCAACTCCCATCAAGGCGTTCAGCTTCAGCATGCTGGAGTTCTTGCTGTTGTCGCCCTCCTGCAGCTCCTCCTTGGTCTTCGCATCGCGAGCCCGCTTCTCGCGCTGATGATAAATGCCCGCGAAGATCAGGACGTTGAGAATGAGCAGGAAGCAGCCCACGGCCACGGTGGCTATTAGAGCGGTCGTATAGCTCTGGAACTGCTTGCCACTCAGTCGTCGGAGCAGCTCCAGGTTGCCAATGATACCGGTGGAGGCGGTGGCCAGGTCCTTTTGGGTCTCCACGCGACTGCTCCCGGTCCTGTTGTCCTTCGGCGATTGGGTCGTGGTCAGCTCCGACACGGACATGGCTCCGTCGATGCCGCACTCTGCAATAGATTCGTTTTGACAATAAATATGCGATGGTCGATATTTGGCCAAGTTTTCTTCCAACTCACCAGTGGTTGTGGCTGCTCCAATGTTGCCAATGGGATTTAAGGCCTGCGTGGCATTTGTACTCGTCATCTTTGGGGATGGCGGTGGCGTGGTGGTCCTGCTCCTTTGCGTGATGATGATGTTATCATCTTCCGCGGGCCTCGTCTGCAATTGTGGTCGCACCACGCCTTCAAAATAAGAATGGGGAAATAAATTAATGAGTAATAAAAGGAGAGCTGGAAAGCAAACTCTTACCCTCATAGAGATCCCTGTTATTCATGTCGTCCTGGAACTGGTGATGCCGCATGGACTGGTCATTGATGTTGAAATGGCGATGCAGCTGGGGAATGAGGTTCAGCCACATGGACAGCTTATGACCGCGATAGTGGCTCTGAACGTTGGCCTTGTTGCCTTGAACGTCAAATGTGTGTCAAAAGCGATATGCATGCATATATTGGCCAAAAAGACTCACCCAGTTCCACGTACAACTGGTTGACCACATCGTAGGCATCCCAGAAGGGCAGCTCATCGCCGTCGTAGCTGCCCACGTCCCGTTCACTGGACATGCCCAGTTGGGTAAAGGCCGCATCATTGCTCCGCAGTCTCCTCCGAATGTAGGACCGCTTCTCGTGCATGGCATTGCTGCGCCGTTGGTTGTAGATCACGGCCAGGTTGAGGGCCTCGCTGAGATTGGGGTAGGTCAGGCCAGTGGATCGCTTCTTCTGCTCATGCAGGGCGGCATCTGGGACCTCGTTTGGACTGGGAAGCGCTGACTTTGCCGTGGACTGGTTGGGATTGCTGAAGGTTTAAGAAATAAAAACAAATTTATTGAGCGTAAGATGGTTTAGATGTTTAGTTCACACCTTATCTTTTAATGGAAAACTATTTCATGCAAGTAAAATGAAACAAAATAAAATAAAATAAAGAACCCCCATATGTATAATAAGAATCTAAGTCATAAGTTTAAACTTTGTAATCTTAATACTATTAAATTAGATTTAGATTTATTAGATTTAAATGATGTCAATGAGACTAGCGCAGCATAAATAAGCATATGCTTGCAGCGCTGGGATATTATATTAAATAAATTAAATTAAATTAAATTAAAAAACACTATTTTATGTGACGTTTTTTCGAGTACAATAAACATTATTGAACAGAACTTTTAAGTCGGATGTTAAAATAGAATTTAAAATCTAGACTAATAAACTTGCTCTTATACAAATTGGAAAATACTTTCAATGCTTTATATTTTTTTGTTTGACTGACGAAGCAAAAGAAAACTTAAATGAACTGCTTTCACAGCAGCTGCAAGAAATTTCTCTTCAGTACATTTTTTTCAATACTTCTTTTAAGCTTTTGCTTTGCTTTCATTCGGAAAGTTTGTGGAACTCAAAGCAACAGCACAGCATTGCATTAGGTACTTTGCTATCTAACAAACAAACAAACAAAAAATTAGTTTTCCATTGAAAACCTCAAATAAAATACGACTAATCAAACAGGAACTATTAGTAAAACTATTTTATTCATTCATTATTATCATTAAATATTTAATTTATGTATGTATTAAATGTACAATTTTGAATTCAATGATCAGATATTTACTTTTACTATTCTATTTTTTATCAGTGTATATAATAATAAAACTAATGTAAATACCTATACCATTATTAATTATATTAATATATCCTTAAATATTTAATCGGATCAGATATTTACTTTTACTATTCCATTTTTTTATAAGTGTATATAATAATATTACTGATGAAAATACGTATACATTTAATGATATTAGCCTGTTATTATTTAAAAAATAATAAATACTAAGAGTTAAACGTTGATCGTAACGTAATTTTTAAAATTAAAAAAATTAATATATATATATATTCAAATGCGGTTTAAAATGATTTGTTCCATTTAATAAAGGGCACGTCTGACCTCTAACCCCTTTTAATTTCCCGTAGCTATACATTAAAATCGACGAATTGGTTTGTACTTACCCGGTTTTGGCAAAGTTTGACAGATATCGCAGCATTAGTCGACCAATTTGACGCTCCTGAGTGGTGTAGTTGTGGGGAAAGAGCGGGGACATGGGCAGACCCAACCAAAAGGGCACATCTTCGCCGCGCACGGAGCCGGTTCTCTGGGGAATGCAGGCACAGGACTTAGTTACATTTTGGCTAAGTGTACTCTACCTACCTGTGGGTACTCCTCCTCGATTGTTTTATGCTTGAAGTGCAGAAAGTAGGCCTGGCCCCCTCGCAAACTGTGCATGTAGCCCAACTTAATCAGCGGCGAGGCCGTGTGGCCATCGCTCAGAAATTGAAGCGCGGCATCGCGGGAGCTAAGCGGATTACGTATCGCCTTTTCCCAGTCGGTGTACTCGTTCTGGGGTAAATGAATTATGCAAATCGACACAATATGGACACAATTAAATTGAACTCACCTTCAGAACGGCAAATATTTCGTTCAGATGGTAGTGGAAGTTGTTGCGCACAAAAGTGCGCAGGATGCGATCCCGTCTCGTCTCGTTGAAGCCGAATTCCAAGTCTTGGGCACTCAAATCCAAATAGGACTCCACAGATGTAAGGCAGAAAATGAGGTCACGTTTTGGAAAGTTTGCATATTCAATTCCTGAAGTACTGTAAGCGTTAAGCAAGTGGTTATACAAAAACGGTTTATACATATATGTTTTTTTGTATATATTTAGCTACCTAACAATAGCTGAGCCCAAGGGCAACGTGGTGCTGCCCATGGGATTGCTGCCGGGCGATATTACAGTGCCATCCACAAAGGGAGCGAAGCCCACGAGGAATCTGTAAAATAAAAAATGGCAGTTACAAGTTTAAAGTTTTCTGAAAAGCTTATAAATCCCCTTCAAAAATTAAAATTCGTTATTTGTCCAAATACATTCTGACAAAATAAAAAATCAATAAGAAGTGGAGATCTTTTAGTTTCTTTATGATTTATAGTAAACATTTGTAAACAATTATTTATAAACGATTTTTCAAAATTATCTATTTT